GGCGACCCCCAGGGGGAGGGCCTTCTCTGTGGGTGCCCCCACCCTCTGGAACGAGCTACCCCCCGAGATCCGGACAATCCCGGATCTCCTAACCTTCCGCCGCGCCCTCAAGACATGGCTCTTTCAGCAAGTGGGACTGACCTAGGGTGAATTTTAAATAGGGATAATTTTTAATGATTTTAGTAATGTCACAGCTACAAATATTTGGTTTTAATTGGCTTTTATAGGGGAAATGTTGTGTGTGTTGTTTGTATTGTGTTATTTTAATATGCTGTGAGCCGCCCTGAGTCCCGTGGGGAGAAGGGCGGCATATAAATTATGAAAAATAAATAAAAAATAAAATAAATTCCAATAATAATTCCAATAATAATTCCAATTCCAATTCCAATTCCAATTCCAATTCCAATTCCAATTCCAATTCCAGTTCCAGTTCCAGTTCCAGTTCCAGTTCCAGTTCCAGTTCCAGTTCTAGTTCTAGTTCTAGTTCTAGTTCTAGTTCTAGTTCTAATAATAAATGGTATAGGTTCTCCTGCTTGAGCAAATGTTCAAGCAGGAGAACATGAACATGTTCACACATGGACTGAGGGCTAGATTTGAGGATGAATACCAAGCAATTGCCTCAGAGTTCTTATTTCTACTGGTCTCATTTATCAGAACCATGACTGGGAGACTGTTTCTGCTGTGGAACCCACACTTTGGAACATCAGTCCCATCCCAAAAGTGGGATTAGCTCTGACCCTATGGGCATTTAATAAATCCTGAAAACATGGTTCTTTCAGTAGGTTTGAGGATCACAGGGTTATCATCTATCTATCTATCTATCTATCTATCTATCTATCTATCTATCTATCTATCTATCTATCTATCTATGAATCATCTATCTTATACATACATACATGCATACATATATATACATCATTACATATGTACATCCATACAGATAGTGTGTTTGTATGTGTGTGCATAGATTATATTGATTTAAATTGTTGCTTAAATTGCTAAATTGTTTTAATTGATGTTTTCATTGTTTTCTATCTCAGGATCATGTTATGGATTTCAGAAAAGAGGGGAAGTATAAGTTGTTACACTCTTTGTAAAACTTGTAATGAAAATTTATTTCAAAATGTGAGGCAATATAATTGAGGGAGAAATGATGGATGCATATTTATAAGTAATAACCTAATATATATCTCGCTTTTCTGTTATCTACAGAGAATAATGGCCTTGGCTGGAATAAACTTTGAATGTTGAGATTCATGGGGTTCTATGAGAATGTTCTGATAAAAATTACCATGGGTCCTGGGAGCTGAAAGGCTACATTCCTTTGGTCTCAATTTGTCTATCAAATAGATTTAACCCGCACTAATGGACAGGCAACTAGAAGATCCTAGAACTCTTATATATGACAACTGCAGCAAGATTATTATATGCTTGAAAGTCAAAATATTTGATACTACTCACAATGGAAGATCATGCTTCATGTCATCTTTTTTTTTAGAAATGTCATCACATTCTAAACAGACCTCAAAGACACATATATTATAAATGTGGCCTATCCCTGCATTAGTTAGATATTCTTGTTTCTTACTATATTTTCTCTACAATTCAGATTGGGTTTCAGTAGGATAATGTAGCATTTGGGGAAAAAGATACAAGCCAAGAGAGCAGCTCCAGAGGCCAAAATGGAGAAGATCTCCACAGCCACCATGACCTTCCCTTTGGTGCTCAGGTAGGTGGGGAGGAAGGTGATCCAAACACTGCAAAATATCAGCATGCTGAAAGTAATGAACTTGGCCTCGTTAAAGCTGTCAGGCAATTTTCTAGCCAAAAAGGCTACCATGAAACTGACAAGAGCCAAGAAACCCAGGTAGGCAAGGACAGCATAAAACATTAAATCTGAGCCTTCATTACATTCCAAGATGGTCTTTCCAACTAAAGAGTGGAAGTCCAAACTGGGAAATGGGGGAGACGTTATTAGCCAGGTGGCACAAAGGACTACTTGGACCAGGGGGCAGGCAATAACAATAGAATTGGTCAGTGGTTTTCCTAAAAGTTTCCTTGTCCTGTTCCCTGGCTTGGTGGCCATGAAGGCCAGAACCACCATGACAGTTTTTGCCAGGATAGAGGAAACTGCAAGAGAAAAGAGGATGGCAAAGGCAACTTGTCGGAAGAGACAGGTGAACTTCTCAGGTCGACCAATGAAGAGGAAGGAGCAGAGAAAGCAAAGCAGGAGGGAGACCAGAAGGATGTAGGTGAGATCTCGGTTGTTAGCTTTGACTATTGGTGTGTCGCGATGTTTAAGAAAAATCACCAGGGTTGTAGATGTTATCATACAGAGAAAAAGAGCGAGAGATGCTAAAGTGTATCCCAGGGTGTCTTGATAGGAAAGGAAGTGGATCTTTTTTGCAATACAGTGGTCCTTATCCTTATTGGGATGTTGGTCTTCTGGGCAAGAGTCACAGTGAGCTCCATCTGAAATCAAAAGTCTAGCTTCTTCAGTTGCACCTACCATGAGGAAGGTCTCTGTCTCCCACAGAGGGCCTAAGTTGTGACTCATGTCTACAGCAGACAACTCAAAAAGAAAGTAATAGAATACACCATTGTCCACCAGAAATTACAGATCTTCCTTGGTTCAAGATAAACCAGGGGATGTGTTGATCATATACAGGGATCTGTTGAGTTCCAATAGTCTTATAAGTTTGTTATTTCAATTAGGGTTAGAAGTTTTCACTCTATATTGGAATACCAATATATCTGTCATCCACAAATCCTGCTTTTTGATTTTTGTCTACATCACTTTTTCTCAATGTCAGCAGCTTTCAGATGTCTGGACTTCAACTACTAGCTGGGAAATTCTGGGAGTTGAAATCCACACATCTGAAGTTCACTCAAGTTGAGAATCACTGAAATACATTATCTATTGGTGTTTTCTGAGAAGAAAATAACAAGGGAGACACACACGGAGATTAATGTGGAATGGGAGGTGGGCGAAGGAAGGCATCCTTAGCCTGATCAAATTTGATTCTCAGGAGAAACTTGTTTTAGAGGGATTCTCTCTTTAGGTTGGTTTTCTCCCTGATTAGTTTCCACCCCTTGCTTTTTTTTCCTGCCTTCAAGTGCCTTGGGAAATAGCTTGACTCCCTCTTCTTTGTGGCAGCCCCTGAGATATTGGAACATTGCTATCATGTCCCCGCTAGTCCTTCTTTTCATTAAACTAGACATATCCATTTCCTGCAACTGTTCTTCATATGTTTTAGCCTCTGGTCCACTAATCATCTTTGTTGCTCTTCTCTGCACTCTTTCTAGAGTCTCAACTTCTTTTTTTATATCGTGTCAACCAAAACTGGATGCAGTATTCCAAGTGTGGCATTACCAAGGCATTATCAAGAGGTATTAATACTTCAAGTGAACTTGATTCTATCTGTCTATTCATGCAGCTAGGTTGGCTTTTTTGGCAGCTGCAGAACACTGCTAGCTCA